TCTATAAAAACATAGTAACATTATTCATAATTAAAATTGCCCTTTACTGATGTTGCTTAACATGTATAGTAAACAAGTTGATGAGGGTCTATTTTTAATACCGCAATTTTATGTTCCATAAACCAAGGACTTACTTGTCAAAATTAATACATACTATATTACATAGGTAAGTATTGCTTTGAACACCTATTTCTTAAATCAAAAGTAAAATAATTAAAATTTTTTTCCTTCTTTTTTTAAATTTAAAGTAAAACATACTAATTATAAAACTGAGTTTGTTTGGTCGTATTATTCTACCTTGCAGTATTGAGGCAACCTATATTACGTTACGCTACCGAATTAAGGCACATCTAGCACAATAGAAACATAATCTACGTTTATTAAGTAGGAAATAATGAATTATTTAATCTTCATTTATTTAAATTAGTACGATAGACTTTAGGTAGGGTAAATCACGAAGAATAATTATTTTAACATGTATTTCTTCTTTCCTTGGATCAAAAGCTTTATAAGCTCCCTGGGGCTGACGTAGTTGTTGCGATGCACTCCAATATTTAATAACACCTATTTACTTTCACAACGATTCTCAATTTGATTTATTTTAGTTTAAATTTTGCACAAATTATTATCTTTGTTATTTATATTTAATATTTTTTGTGGTATTACGAATTTTAATTATTTCCCGGTAGAAAAAATTATAAACGACGCCATTTAGATTCTTTAGATAACAGTTATCTACTATTTACTACATATTTTTCGTATGATTTTCACGTCTCACTCAGAATTCTTGGAGTGTCTCGAAATAGCTTCGGAATAAAAATAATTGGAAGCAAACAAAGACTTGGGAGAAACAATTGTAAGATTGCAGAAGTCACGGATCGGGTATAGATAACCAATGATTTTCGTTGCACCGTAATCTCGACTCGCCGGTTCCCATATAGAAGTGAGTTATGCAAGCTGTACGTTATGTTTTATTGAGTGTGGTATTTTGAGGATTACAAACCAGGAGTTGTATGGAATCCATTTAAGGAAATGGTTAGAACATTACTGGAACTATGAAATATCGAATTACTTTTGATACAAATATTTAGTTTAAACGATAATTAATTACTTAACTTACACAAATATTAGCGCTAGGTATACTCAATCTTATCTAGACTTTAATTATACATGGCTTTTGTGAAATATCATTCAATTGTCTAACTAATTACAAATACTTTTTGACATTTGAAATACAAATTTTACCGTACAAATAAATCTAAAACATTGAAATTGTTTATTTGCAAAAGCTTTGAAGAGTGAAGCTTTCAACGGTTGCACACAAAAAGACAAACGCACACAGACAGGAATCATATTTATCACTTCACAGCTGCACCTATGATCGATTAAATCCAAGATGGCCGCCTCGCGGGAGTATGGGCACGCGCATTTTTACAATTACTTTTAATACAATTAATTAAAATATTAACAGCACTACGAACGTGCTTACCCGTACACGTTTTTGACCTAACTAAAAAAGCTCGTATTCAAAACTTGAAAGCCATAAAACATATCTCCCCCATTATTAGTTTGGTTTTGCGACTGTTACGGGCTATTATGTTATTTTTCTGTTGTCTTGAATGACCAATTTGGGGTTTTAAGCAATTCTATTGAGGCCAGAATAGTGTTTGGTATGAAGAGGCTCTTATTATTATGATTGTTTTGTTCATAGCGCAGGTAATAATAAAAGTAAGTAGACAATACTTGCGTTGGACACTTAATTAGTTACTTAGTTAATAACCAACTATATACATTGAATTATAAAATTTAACATAAATTTTATTGATTTTGTTGTCATTAGTACCTAAGCAAGCAATATAAAAAGTTAAAACTATAAATATTGTCTACAATGTACGCTTCAATGTATTGATTTATTCTTTTTATCTAACACCTTTGTTGGCCGCTAATCGATAATGAACAGTAATTCATAATTCCTTTTGAATAGAATTTATTGCAGAAAAATAATATCGTAGCATTAGATCGAAGACGGAATTCCCTTGACGTTTGAAATGCATAAGGCATAAGTGAAGTAGAGCAACCTTCACATCGGACGCTCATGACTCACGGATGCACAGTGCATAATAGTGCTATCTCTGAGTTAGTTCTGAAAATTTGAATTTGGAATTATTTTTGTTATAACAAATTTGTCGAATAGGTTATGAGATAAATGTTTTATTGTTATTTATATCAGTAACAATACGGGTTTCTTAGTTCTCGAAGACGTTCGAGAAAACACTTAGTTTGTCATAAATTAATAAATAAATTGTAAAAAACTGAGCTGATAAAATAAGTACCAATCCTTATTTCAGGTACAAATATTAAAAACCAGGGAGCAAAGAAGAACCTTCAAGTGAACTAGTGATTACAAACTCATTTCCCTTTAATAAAGGAGCATTTAAGAAATTCGGCCCCGAGCAAAATTCGCTCTGCAATTTCGGAACCCGTTTAGAAATTATAGAGGCAAAACCAGGCGTATGGTTAGATACTGCAACCAAAGTATATAAAGAATATAGCAAGACGTATTATAGTAGGTAAGTATATCTTTTACAATGACACATTTAAATTCGATATGAGGATCCAAAGGAAATTTATTATTGAGAAAACAATTGCTTATAAATATCCCAATAATCTTGTCTCCTTATATAGATATTTCCTTTTAATTTCGAATTATTATTTAAAACTATTTAATTAATTTCTTAATACTTTAAGTATAAAATTGATCTGGCAACAAAATGTTTTATTTCTGATTGTATCGTAGGTATTAAACGTTAGAGTATTTTGTGAAACTCAAAATATTAATTTAAAACATTATGTAATTATTATATATATTGTACGAACAAATACTACGTATTTTTAGTGCTTGGGAAGCCCCAGTTAACAAAATCAAAACAGAAAATTACCTTTTTTGTTATTTCATTAAATTTTAAACCATTGCGATTAATCGCACAGATTTGGTCCGTTAATTGGTGATTACTTAATTTTTTTGCTAGTCTTATCATTTGATTAACCCTGAATACTAAATTAATGATAAATTAAGAACAGCGCCACCTATCAGTGAAATATGAATTTAAATAACTATTAGATTGGAATTTATTTAACATATTTTATCGAAATATTCATAATTATAATATTTTATAAAATATAACTATTACAAGTGTTTTTTGAAAATAATAATAACAAGAGAACCACTAATTATAGATGAATAGGTACAGAGCAAACTAAAGTTCTCAAGGAAAATATATATTATATTACCTATAGTCTTGCATCGGGAAACTTATAAATAATAAAATTTAAGGTATACTATTTAAGGTAATGTTAATTAATGCATACAACAATGCACATTCTAACCACATATTAATACAGCGTACAATTTTCTTTCTTAAGCGACTGACATTTGCATAATTATTCATTCAAAAGAATAGAAACTATCAAATCGATAATTCAAAGTGTATGAACATATTAACATTTTTTGAAACAGACATAGAGTATAAAGTATGATAGTAAAAGACAAGGGAGACAGAAATCTGAATATATCTTAATAGATATTTCTTCCGTAAGAATTATTTGACAATCTCAACAAAAACGAAACGTTTTCAGGTCCTTCAAGAAAAGCGCGTACCAATTCTTAAAAGGCCGGCAACGCACTTGCGAGCCTTCCGTCAATGTGAGTGCCCATGTATCACTAATTATCAGGTGAGCCTCCTGCCCGTTTAAAAAATGACGAAAGGACCATTTGAATTGTACAATCGAAAAACCTGAACCATCGGCCTTGTATTGTTTTCGCGGGCATCGCGTGAACTCGGGTGAAATACGACGTACCTTATTTTTACTTTTTAATTCCCTTAATTTTATCAAACATGAGTTATGAGAATCGAGACCACACACGACTCGCGTTAATTACGAGTAGCGAGTAACCTGTCTTATTCTAGTTGGGTGCTTTGCTAATGGAATTTCTTACTGGACTTTTCCTATCACCTTGACCTTATTAGCTTTTGTACTTGGGGTTGATAATTGCTAAACAAATGAACGGTATCTGTTGATTTAAACCCTTTATTACAATAATTCAGTAATTAATATTCACAGTACTCGTGTAAAGGAAGCGATCGTTCTTTCCGACCACTCCCTTCAATCACACTCAAGGCCAACTTTCGCTGTAGCTAAACACACGAAAGGCATAATTTCGTTGGTCAGTTAAATAATGCGCCCAAACTAGATCGGGCCATTGACCCGAGGGCCGGCGCCCGCGCTGCGTTAAGACGTTGCATCCGCAATGTTTTTTTCCTATTTCTAAATAAACTGAATCTCAATAAGGGCTACGGCTTTCATTTATTTTTGCGTAAAACCGTATTGTATTACTGGGTACTGAGTGACTTATTACAACTGGCAGTATCCCAAGATATTCGACTTCACATGTCAATCGCCGTAATGGCTTAGAAATAATTTAATATTTCATTTTGGAATATCATCAGACCGTCGTTATAATTAGCGGCGGCTAAGATTTGTAATGAGGCACGTGAATAAATTATATACAGTTAATGTATTAATTACCTTGGATGATGAATATAGTATTATTAAATTTTTTATTGCCTAAAAGCCTTTAATTTTAAAACGAATCATTTTCACTTTACACAAATTAATATAAACAAAATTATCTCTGATGTTATTTTTATTATATTTTGAAAGTTATCATATGCAATAAAATCTCGTGTTAATCGGGAGTTAACGAGGGTCTTCGATTTTATGTGATTTTTATTGGCACTCAATGAATTGCGCTCCCCACTTTATTCTCATTCATATTAGTATCTTATTAGAATAATTTACATTCAATTTGTTTAACTGGAATAAGCGACATTTTAGGACTTCAAAGAAAGTAGAAAATTATTTTTAACAGTGTATTTGGTCTTTGAGAAGTTATTTTTTACACGTTTTACTCATAAATTTGCGATTTTTCAGGTTTTGGATTATTTAAATATGAACATACCTGCAATGGCCATCCAAGGGTAAAAGGTATGGTTGGTGGGTTGATGTTGGACTGGTTGAGCTGCTGCTGCTGACCCCGGTAAGCCGCACTGGTTTCCCCAAGGTAGAGCTCTTCCGGGGCTGGATGACTCGCTGTACCTCGCCTCTGGGGTGCACGCGGCGGGCCTTACTAACGCGCCCAGCCCTGAACCCCACGCTTCCTTCCCTCCATAGCCATTCTGTTGCTCTGCTCCAGTCTTTGAGCAATCTGCTTTTCCATACTGTTGTTCTCCGGCGTATAACTTGCAAGCAGCCGCTACAGATGCATCGTACGGCGAGTCTTGTGGCCTCGGCTGATGTAGAGCATGTGGCTGGGCGTACGTCAGCCCCAAGGGAAACCCACGGTACTGATCTCCACCACCGCCGCCCTGGTGCACTCCATGGGCACCATAGAAACCGCCCTGTTCAAAATATGAGTTCATGGTGAAGTCACTGTCACTATCGTCACTCAGTTAGGGAACACTTATGTCATTTCGGCCCCACGCGCCTTGATAACGCGACCTCCGGCGTCACTCCGAATATAGACAGTCAATGTTAAATTTTATTAATTTTATTGCCTATTAAACGTCACTCGAGCGTCATAATGGGCTTCGTCGGCGATAAAGGCCGCTTGACGTGTGTTTACTTTTTACGATTATTTTACGACTTTGAAGCGCGTGCGGTTTTACGAGTTTTTAAACGGTCCCGCGTGTGGCGGGCGGGAGGTGAGAGTCACGTGTGAAGTAAAGGGTTATCGTTTCAGGGATTCAGTATCGGACATGTGGTCGAGCGAAGTTTGCAGTCGCGTTTGCAAGAGCGCGCCACTGTATGTAGTGCGACCGGCGCGGCGCGACTCACGCAATGTACTGAGAGCCGCCACGGGACCACGCGCGCCGCCCCGCGCGCCGCCCGCTCACCAACGCTGGCAACACTGCCGATTGTTCCGTCCCCTTTTCGCTAATCACTATAAATATTATCAGTCACGCTCTCTTTTCCTTTCTTATCACTCCTCCTAAAACACGTGTTTTCATCGTGTTCTTGGTATCTCATAATTTTTTTATTAATTTAAATATAATATTTCAGTACTAAATAAAATCATTACTATTCAATACATCAATGCCTAATTGTTTTATTAATTCGAAGTCATAAAAGAACCGCCACAAAATACAATCATCCCACGCAAAAACGTTTACAAAAGGTCTATAACAACTTTGCTACTGAAAAGTAAAGCCACAGAAGTCATAAACTCATAAACGTACAATTAGTGAAACGGGCCAGTAAAGAAAAGATTTTACAACCACTCTACGGTCGGGCCACAATGAGCTCGCAGTATCGTAACAAGGTGCTGAATAGAGTGAGAAGTCGTAAAGATGATTATTATTTCTTCTACTAGGTACCTGTTTTTACGACTAGTGTTTGCATCTCGTTCGCACAACGGCGATAGGAGCAGGTGTGAGCGAGATGGCGCACCATTTGTGGTACGCGTATTGCGTGGTCGGCGTGGAGTTTGATATACTTATCTCTGTCTGGCGCAGTGTGGCGCGTGCATCAAAAGACGCACTATCGAAAGGTAAACAATAGCGCATTATCGCAAAAGCACTCGGTTCGCGCGACCAAATGAAGACATCAAACGAATGAATGGCCCTCGGTGAAGCGCTCTACCCGGAGACAGGCTCGCATTTTTATTGCAGTCACCTCTTTAAACAAATATTTACCGATAAAAAGGGCGGGATGGCTTTAGATTTTTTTTATTCCTTTAATTGGTCAATTTAAGACTGTAGAGATACCGATGCGTCCTAGAAATTGTTTATAAAAATTGAAGGGGGATTATCGACATTCCTGAAGTCTACGGTTTTTACGTCATCAAACATACGATTTCAGCTGCTTTAGCACTTAATTAATAGTTATCTCTGTTATTTCTAATAACTAGTTATATATTAAGCATAGACAAATAAGAAAAAAGTTTAGGTTCCAAAAGATCATGAATGCTTATTAACTCTCGAAGTCGAGTCTTAGTGAGTAAGAAATATTGTAGACCCTTAATATAGAGATATATATATATTTAACCAAGAATAAATAAAGCTAGAATATTACATTACGCATAAGTTTTAAGCTTGAATCAATTTTAATATTTCACTAACTCTGTGTCAAAAGAGAAATCATGTATGACGTAAGAATTTGTTTCCAGTCATCGAAGTCAGGACATTGATTGAGCCTGTTAAATAAATCTACCGCCATCTTAGCCATATTATTATATTCATTGTATTTTGTTGTTTCATAGAGGAAGTCTGATGTATCTTCGTTATTAGATGCTAATCTTATTTAATGAAACAAACGTGTCCACAGGTAAAAAATCGTCTTTCGACACGTCTTTGTTGCCAACGCATCCTATATTTTTAGACATGTAGCACGCAGAGATCCAGAGAGTTAAGAAAAAACGTGACTGGCAGAGTGGAGGGCACCAGACCTCGAGGCCGATCCTCTACTGGACCGATCAAGGAACGCCCTTACCAGGCACAGAGGCTAACACGACCTTCAGAAATGAAGAATCTTTTTTATATGCTACGTATAAATGTGGATATCAGTCGAATCGGTCAACAAGTACACCAAAGGTGTATGGGTAAGATCCAGAGTCGTGTATAAATCACGTATGGATTGACTTAGGGAAGTAATAATTAGTGCAGTCGGGATTGTAAATCTAAAGGTATTCTAAGTGTAACATACCTACTTTAATAAAAGGCTAACGTTGGTTGTAATGCTCCTCTAAACAGATCTCTGTAAACGTCTGCAGTCTCCATGTCTGTAGCAGTTAGATTCTGCAGCCACTGTTGATCCGTCACCAATAATAGATAACAATTGCAAAGTAGGAATAATTACATTTTTAAATTGTATATTTGTTCTTGAACCAGTTTATTGTATTTTATTTTGATTGTACTATTTAATTTCTCTTCTATCATTGCAATGTTTCCCTTTAAATGTTGTGTACACTTTTCATTGATGCACAAGTATCGTGTTTTTTTATGTCGTGTGTTCTCTTATCACACATATACCTAATTAAAAGAAATTTAAGTGATACTGCAATGATCTGATGTAAATAGGTTCGTAAATAAGGGGAGTATTAGCTCAGTTATAGCAACTTAATAGAGTGTTTGTGAAATGCAGGGAGTCCGTTTTAGTTGCTGTAGGTATAAAAAAATAAGACTACAGTTCATCAAACAAATGGATATCGAATAGAGAATTCACATTTGGAGTTCTTGCTTCTAAAATTACCCAATTATCAATATTATAAACAGATTTTTAATAATCAAAAACACATTATTTAGTAATATGTTCGCAAATATTTCGACCAGTAATCTTTCTACTTTATATTGGATGCTATACGTATATGGAGAGGGTTGCAACACTGCTACGAAGACTGAGGAACATTTTATGGGTTATGCTTTTTTCCGCAATCAGACATCAATCCTCCGTTTTACGAGATTGTTTGGCTGATAAATTAAGCTAGCGCAACGTATTGCAATTTGTTTCTTGGAGAAACTCGGACTGAGGAACAGCATCATCATCCTATAGAAGAATTCGTTTGAAAGAAAGGGAGATGCATCTTGTGACCCTGTATATGGAGTGATATAGTTTGTAATTTCCTTTAGATTACGCGCTAATTCTTAACCACGGTTGCTTTAAACGTCGAGTTATGTAAATAATGTAGGAATTTATCCGATAAAAATGTATTTAAACATACTTTATAGCATGGCCATTATTGCAATATATTTTTTTCGAATACCTGCTGCTGAGTTTCATCATCAAACGTCGAGGCAGAAACGAAATTCCGCCCGTATCACCTCGACGTCCGTCGTTCCACAACTGAGCGTATTTTAAGGTAGTTTTTGTCGAGCCCCACCACTATGTGGAACTAGCTGCCCACTGAAGTATTTACGAACCATAGTATTGTCTTTGATTAACATAACTTTTATTCATTTAATAAAACACTATTTTGACCGGATTGAAGTTACCTATGTATTATTATAAATTTACAACTATTTAACATAATTTTAAATTTATCCGACGTTTCGCGTGCTTTACAGCGTGCGTGGTCACGGTGACAATAAATACGGTGTTAAATAGTTGTAAATTTATAATAATACATAACTTCAATCCGGTCAAAATAGTGTTTTATTATTTACGAACCAATTCGACTTAGGGTTCTTCAAGAATAGAGCTACCAATTCCTAAAAGGCCAGCAAGGCACTCGCGATCCCTCTGGCATTGAAAGTGTCCATGGGCGGCGGTATCACTTAACATCAGGTGACCCTCCTGCCCATTTGCCCCCTGTTCTATAAAAAAAAGGTATATTTATCAGTCTAACCTCTATTTGTTGGTAACAACAACTAATACAATTTCTCCAAACCTTGTGTGCCTTTCGTCTTGGTAAGGAGACATTGTAACGAGGTATGTACTCAGGACTTGTATTATCCTAGTATAAGATTGTGTATCGACGGCCACCGAACGGTTCTTTGTGGTACCTACACTAGGTATATGACAAAAATAGACGTAGTTTTAATATACAAAATACTCTTTAAACTAGGTTCTAGAAACTTCTATTAAATAGCATAGATAAAGGTTTGTACGAAAAGAATTGCATCGTAAATATCTAATTTTAAGAAACCTATAAGGAATACATGTAGGACCGTCTTACCTTCGGTACAACTAAAATAAATGTAAATCCATCAAGCAGGTACTCAAAATGTCGTGTAATAATATTATTTACCCGTCTACAGTTCGTAAAATTATCTAATAACACTTAAATAGCACCAGAAGCAGCATTAAGGCTTTTTAGTATTATGTTAATCCCAAAGCAAAAAAAACAAAAACTCATTCGCATTCGTGCGACAGATGCGATGATATTCGCATGGCGGCGCCCGCGCACGCGCCATACGCTCATAAACACGATTTTTACTACCACTTGAACGATCGTAAACGTCACGTGAATTGCGCCGTTTGTAGAACTCACAGTAAACACCGCTCAGATTATTTCGTATACGCCTCCGGGGCTAAACCTCGATATAAATTCGAAACTTTATGGCGGCAACGGACGAACACGGGTTATTATGCCGCACTTTAGACATTTATTGAACCATTATTGACTTGTTTAAAGTATCAACCGCTTAATAGAGATAAAGGAGTCGTTGATAGTTTATGTCTTCATCGTGTGAGGGGTATACCTAACGATGCTCGCGTCTAGCAGTCTGCCCAGACGCGATTGCAGGTTTATGGCGGCAATTTTCCTTTTTATAAGCCAGCGCAGCCTGTTTGATTGATATGAATCAATGCGATATAATGGTGTTGTCTGCTCACTTAATTAGTTTATTACGTGTGTGGAGTCGTTAGGGGCCTAATAAATCAGTTCTAACTTAATTATCACGTATGCTTCAATTAGTGTTTTGTA